CAGGCAGTACGCTCTTTGACATAGGTCTTAGTAGCTTATTTTCAAATACCATGCTTGACCAGCCAAGGGAAACAACAGAAAAAATAAACAAATGGGACTACATCAAACTAAAAAGCTTCTGCACCCCAAAGGAAACCATCAACAAAACGAAAAGACAACCTAACAACTGGGAGAAGATATTTGCAAACCATATATCTGATAAGGGGTTAATGTCCAAAATATATAAAGAACTCATACATCTCAACAACAAAAAAACTAAAAACCCAATTAAAAAAATGGGCAAAAGATCCGAACAGACATTTCTCCAAAGAAGATATACAGATGGCCAACAGGCACATGAAAAGATGTTCAACATCACTAATTATTAGGGAAATGCAAATCAAAACTACAATGAGATACCACCTCACACCCATCAAAATGGCTATAATTAACAAGATAAGAAATAACAAGCGTTGGAGAGAATGTGGAGAAAAGGGAACTCTCATGCACTGCTGGTGGGAATGCAAACTGGTGCAGCCACTATGGAAAACAGTATGGAGATTTCCCCCAAAATTAAGAATAGAACTACCAAACGATCCAACTATTCCACTGCTAGGTATTTATCCAAAGAACATGAAAACATGAATGCATAAAGATATATGCACCCCTGTGTTCACTGCAGCATTATTCACCATAGCCAAGACTTGGAAACAACCTAAATGCCCATCAAGGAATGAATGGATAAAGAAGATGTGGTATATATACACAATGGAATACTACTCAGCCATAAAAGAAGAGGAAATCTTGCCATTTGCGACAACATGGATGGACCTTGAGGGTATTATGCTAAGCAAAATAAGTTAGAGAGAGAAAATCAAATAACGTATGATCTCACCCATAAATAGAAGCTAAAAAAAACAACAAACAGACACATAGATACAGAGATTAGACTGGGGTTACCAGACGGGAACAGGGGAGGGAGGAGGGTGAAAGCGGTGACTGGCACATGTGTATGGTGATGGATGGTAATTAGTCTTTGGATGGTGAATTGGATGTAATCTAAGACATCGAACTACAATGATGTACACCTGAAATTTATATAATGTTATAAAACAATGTTACCTCAATAAAAATAAAATAAAATAGAATAAAAAGCTTTCATTCTTTTTTATGGCTGAATATTCCATTGTGTGTATATATATATATATATATATATATATACATACACACACACAATATATATGTATATATATAACATGTATATGTATATGTATAACAATATACATATACACCACATCCCACATCTTCTTTAACTATTCATCCATTGATGGACACTTAGGTTGTTTCCATAACTTGGCTATTGTAAATAATGCTGCTCTGGTGCATATATCTTTTTGAGTTAGTATTTTTGTTTTCTTCAGTTAAAAACCTAGAAGAGAATTGCTGGATCATACAGTAGTTATATTTTTAATTTTCTGAGGAACCTCCATACTGTTTTCCATAGTGGTTGCACCAATTTACATTCCCACCCACAGTGCACAAGGGTTCCCTTTTCTCCACATCCTTGCCAACACTTGTTATTTCTTGTCTTTGATAATAGCCATTCTCACAGGTGTGAGGTGATATCTCATTGTGGTTTTGATTTGCATTTCCCTGATGATTAGTGATGTTGAGCATCTTTTCATGGACCTGTTGGCCATCTGTATGTCTTCTTTGGAAAATGTCTATTCAGATCTTCCGCCAATTTTTAATTGTACCGTTTGGTTTTTTGCTGTTGAGTTGTATGAGTTCTTTATGTATTTTGGATATTAGCCCCTTATCAGATATACGATTTGCAAATATTTTCTCCCATTCAGTAGGTTGCCTTTTCATTTTGTTGATGGTTTCCTTTGCTGTGCAGAAGCCTTTTAGTATGATGTAGTCCCACTTATTTATTTTTGCTTTTGTTGCTTTTGCTTTTGGTGTCAGATTAAAAAAATCATCGCCACAACCAATGTCAAGGAGCTTACTTCCTATGTTTTCTTCTAGGAGTTTTATGGTTACAGATCTTACATTCAAGTCTTTAATCCATTTAGAGTTAATTTTTGTGTATGGTGTAAGATAGCAGTTAAGTTTCATTCTTTTACAAGTGGCTGTCCAGTTTTCCCAACACTATTTATTGAAGAGACTGCCCTTTCCCCATTGTATATTCTTGCCTCCTTTGTTGTAAATTAATTGACCATATATATGTGGGTTTATTTCTGGGCTCTCTAATCTGTTCCATTGATCTATGTGTCTGTTTTTATGCCAATACCTTACTGTTTTAATTACTATAGCTTTGTAATACGGTTTGAAATCCGGGAGTGTGATGCCTCCAGCTTTGTTCTTCTTTCTCAAGATTCCTTTCACTATTCAGGGTTTTTTGTGGTTCCATACAAATTTTAGGATTATTTGTTCTATTTTTTTTTGAAAAATGCCATTGGAATTTTGATAGGGATTGAAATGAAGCTGGAGATTGCTTTGGGTAGCATGGACATTTTAACAGTATTGATCCTTCCAATCCATGAGCATGGAATATCTTCCAGGTATTTGTGTCTTCTTCAACTTCTTTCATTAATTGTCTTGTTGTTTTCAATATATAAGTCTTCCACCTCCTTGGTTAAACTTATTCCTAGGTATTTTATTCTTTTTGATGTAATTGTAAATGGGATTGTTTTCTTTATTTCGCTTTCTTATAGTTTGTTATTAGTGTATAGAAATGCAATAGATTTTTGCATGTTGATTTTGTATCCTGAAACTCACTGAATTTGTTTATTAGTTCTAACAGTTTTCCGATGAAGTTTTTAGGGTTTTCTACACGTAGTATCATGTCATCTGCAAATAGTGACAGTTTTACTTCTCCCATTCCAATTTGCATGCCTTTTATTTCTTTTTCTTCCATAATTGCTCTGGCTAGGACTTCCAATACTATATTGAATAAAAGTGGTGAGAGTGGGTATCCTTGTCTTGTTCCTGATCTTAGAGGAAAGGCTTTTTCAGCTTTTCACCATTAAGTATGATGTTAGCTGTGAGCTGGTCATATATGGCCTTTGTTATGTTGAAGTATGTTCCCTTTATACCTACTTTGTTGAGTGTTTTTATCATAAGTAGATGTTGAATTTTGTCAAATGATTTTTCTGCATCTATTGAGATGATCATATGATTTTTATCCTTCATTTTGTTAATGTGGTGTATAAGTTGATCGATTTGTGCACGTTGAACTATTCTTGCATCCCTGGAATAATCTCACTCGATCATGGTGTATGATCCTTTTAATGCATTGTTGAATTCGGTTTGCTAATATTTTGTTGAGGACTTTTGCATCTGTGTTCATCAGGGATATTGGCCTATAATTTCCTTTTCTCATGGCATCCTTGTCTAGTTTTGTTTTTTTTTTTTTTTTGTTATCCATTGTGAATCCTCCTTTATTTTTTTTTATTATTTTTTTTTGCTTGAGGAAGATTAGCCCTGAACTAACATCTGTGCCAATCTTCCTCTATTTCGTACTTGGGTCGCCGCCACAGCATGGCTGACAAGTGGTGTAGGTCTGGGCCTGGGATCCGAACCCGTGAACCCAGGCTGCCAAAGCAGAGCGCACTGAACTTAACCACCAGGCTACGGGGCTGGCCCCATCCTTGTCTGGTTTTGGTATCAGGGTAATTCTGGCCTCATAAAATGAATTTGGAAGAGTTACTATTGTTTGGAAGAGTTTGAGAAAGATTGGTATCAATTCTTTGAATGTTTGGTAGAATTCACCGGTGAAGCCACCTAGTCCTAGACTTTTGCTTGTTGGGAGGTTTTTGATTACTGATTCAATATTCTTATTAGTAATTGGTCTGTTCAGTCTTTCTATCTCATCATGATTCAGTCCTTATAGGTTATATATTTCTAGTAATTTATCCATTTCTTCTATTCATTTCTTGTCCAATTTGTTGGAGTATAATTGTTCATAGTAGTCTGTTATGATCCTTTTTATTTCTGTGGTATCATTTGTAACATCTCTTCTTTTATTTCCAATTTTATTTATTTGAGTCTTCTCTCTTTTTTTCTTGGTGAGTCTACCTAAAAGCTTGTCAATTTTGTTTATGTTTTCAAAGAACCAACTCTTAGTTTCATTGATCTTCTCTATTGTCTTTTTAGTCTCTATTTCATTTATTTCTGCTCTAATCTTTGTTATTTCCCTCCTTCTGCCAACTTTGGGCTTCAACTGTTCTTTTTCTAGTTCCTTGAGGTATAGACTGAAGTTATTTATTTGAGACTTTTTTTTTTTTTTTAAAGATTTTATTTATTTATTTTCCCCCCAAGCCTCAGTAGATAATTGTATGTCATAGCTGCACATCCTTCTAGTTGCTGTATGTGGGACGCGGCCTCAGCATGGCCAGAGAAGCGGTGCGTCGGTGCGCGCCCGGGATCTGAACCCAGGCTGCCAGCAGCAGAGCGCATGCACTTAACTGCTAAGCCACGAGCCCAGCCCGAGACTTTTCTTTTTTCTTGAGGTAGGCATTTATCTCTACAAACTTTCCTCTTAGAACTGCTTTTGCTGCATCCCACAAATTTTTGTCCATTATATTTCCATTTTCCTTTGTCTCAAGGTATTTTTTATTTCTCTTTTAATTTCTTCTTTGACCTATTGGTTGTTCACAAATGAACACCAGTCATTTTAATACATTTGCTTTTTTAATACATACTCTGGCTGATTATACCTTATCTGGATGAAAACTTCAGGTTATAACTTGTGAATACAGACTGTTTTCAGTGAGTAGCATAAGGATATCATGAATTTCTAAAAATGTAGGTAATCGTACCAATATACCAGTAAAGAACAGACCTGGGAAGAAGCCTTTTGTCATAAAAATTCATGCATCTAGGACCCTGTTTCCCTGATAACACACCTGAGGAAGCACCATACATAAAAAGATCCTGGGTTTATTTAAAAAATAAAATAAATCAAAACCAAACAAAAAAAACACCTCTTATAAACAAAATAAAGCCCCAAATCTTACCTCCAGTGTCTTATCCAATTTGGCAGCTAGCCTTCCAATTTCATATAATAGCTGGGGGCTGATGGGAATCTCAGCTATAGGTCTTCCTGGGAGGTAAGTCAGCAGCCTTACCAAGTAGCTTTTGATTTCAGAGCCACTGCCTAGAAGGATGGAATGATATATCCTGTCAACTATTCTTGAAAAAGATAGAGGCCATTCTGCCTTTGCAATCATTATTACAAAGAATAACAGAAATTACAAAACAAGAGAAAAAATGTGCTAACCTAAAACAAGTCAGCAGGATTCCCTCAGGCAGGGCTGAGTGGATCGAGCAAGCAGGTAGAAGAGACAAATCTTAGAACCTTGGAACTAGCTGTTTATATACCAACAACATTATAACCCTAACTCTGCAAGCCTTAACTCTAAACATAACTTACCTACTCTGGTAAATGAATGCCTAAAACACTATTCTATAAGTTTACAGTTGAGGAAAGTGTGATGTAAAGAAATGACTCTTTCAGAATAACAGGTTTCTTCAGGGCAAACTGAGGAACAGCCTGTTTGCAACACAGGAAAATAACTATTTCTCAGGGACTGTAACGGGCCTCAGCTGTTTCGAGCAATGCAAATTAAGAAAGAATGGGTGAACAATTTAGAGAGAAAAAGAATCAAGATTTCAAACCTTTAAAAAATCCAAGGACTTGATTTCAGGCTGCTGCTTAGAGAATCCTATTAGGTACATCTTAGCATTTAGAGGTGAAAGCGACCAAGTCTCACAGATGAGAACACAAACACTTAGGAATGTAAGTGGTATGCCCAAGGTCACATATACAAGAATGACAGAGCTAGCATCTAAAATTCCTGATTCCTAGTTCTGTGTTCTTTCTACTATACCACAGCACCAAAATATACAGCTGATCTAACAAAAAAAAAAATTTATTTTTCTGCTTAAAAAAAAGTTCCCCTAATTTCTACCTGTCCCCTTAGTTACTCCTCTACCAGGTCCTTTCCAAACAGAAGCGTTACACCAGATCCCAGCTCTAACCACTTCTGAATCAGAGCCCCAGTCTCCACTTTGGTGATACCGTGGCTTCTCCCAGCCGCTGAAAAAATAACCACGTCTACACTTGGAACTACGGACCTGTTCTTGATATTTCTACCTGTAGCCAAAATGCAATAATGTACGTGGACAGGTGACGACCAGCGAGTTGGTGGTCTCTTACCTACGGACACGAGAGAGGTTATGTCGTCTCCTTTAGTACGACACACAGAGGCTGTCGGAAATCCAGCCGCTCTCAGAAACATGATGATGTGACTCTGCACTTCAATCAGGTCTGGAGTTTTGCTAGCCTCAGTGTTGTTTATTTTGAGGACATATTCAGTTGGGCCATCGGTAGCGTCTTCGGTTCTTGGAATGCACACATGAAAGTTTTGGTCATCATAGCTAGGAAGTGGCTGGATCTTGGAAACTTTTAACCCAAATACTGATTCCACTAATGCAGAGGCTTGTACCTCACTGAAAGTGGGTTTGGCAAAAGCCCGTGATTGCTGATCATCTCCACTTGACATTATGTCTAGGGGAAACAAACAAACTAGAAAGGGGACATATAATGAATATATTTATTTAAATGGTTTTTCTTAAGACAGGCCAGTAATGTTTCTCAACACTGATTCTGTATTTCCTTTGATTATTAATTTTCACTCATAAAGTTAAAAAAAAATCAGTAAATGGGATAAAGAAGTAGATGTTTTGGCAGGTGAATAAAAATCCGTATACTGTAAATTATTTCTAAACTCTCTTCCCAAACTGAAGGTATGTTTCCAGGGACAGAATACAGATCAGGAAAGCACCCTGGTATCACCTAGACCAATTTGGCCCCCAGTCTCCCGCCATCAACTTTATTTACAGGGGAAATTTAGGACCTGAGAGGTTAAGTGCCTTGCCCAAAGTTACATACCAAGTTACAGTAAGAACTCAGCTCTCTAGACTCCTAATCTATGATTATGTCCTTTTGACTACATTACCATCAATTTCGGGTTAAAATACAAATTCAAATACAGTGATCTTACTTTTTTATCCACAAGTTTTATTAAATTATAAGCTTATCATGCAAACTTCAACTATAAAAGTGTGGACTGATGTGCACAGCATCCTGTAGGGCACTGTGGGAAATATGAAGATGAGCTTAGAGGGCTCTGTAACATCTGAGAAGTTAACTCAGCCACAGATATCCTAAACAATAAAAAACTTAAAATCTGTTCAAAACAAGTTATAAGGCAGTAAATAATAAACTGATAGAATGCCAAAGAAAATCCTGAATTAAGTATAAATTTGAAAAGACTGAATTAACACTGAAGTGACTGAGGTTACCTTAAATTGTAAAGAATAGGTTTTCTATTGCTAAGAGGAATAAAGGCTTGGAATAAAAATTAAGGTCAGTTACAAAAAATAAAGTTACATCTGAGTTTATGACATATGAAATTAATATCTATCAAAACTATGATAGAAATTCAGAGAGGAGAGAGATTACTACAGCCTAAGGAAAGGTATTCTTGAGAAGATGGATTTGAATTGAGTTATTGAGTATAGACGGGGGTGGGGAGACTGTTTTCTTCCCCTTGGTAATGCCACCCTCTGTTACACATACCTGGCCTATTTCCAGAGCATCCGGCAATGCAGGGCTTCTGAACATCCTTCAGGAACCAAATATTTAAGGTCCTTGCAATCTCACCTCCCTCTTTTCCCAAAATAGTTTTATGCCAATCTTTCCTGCATACTAAATTGTAAATAACTGATAACATCTTGGGGTGGGTTGCATTTCACGGTACAATTTTGATTGCTGTTCAAGGGATGTAGTGTCACATAAAAAGAATCTCATGAACAGTTAGCTCTTGAGAGAAATCAGAACAGCTGTTGCTTCTGGCAGGGAGGGGGCATGAGGGAACTTTCTGGGAGGAAAATATTCTATATCTTGACTAGGTTTTGGTTACAAGGGTGTATAAATTTGTCAAAACTTGACTTAAAACTGAAGTAAGCATAAGATCTGCGAATCTCAGTGAATGTAAATTTTACCTAAAAAAAAAAAAAAAAAAAGTCAGCCCTTGTGAGAGATTGGCTAGGACAAGGAGGTGGAGGTGGGGTTTTAGGACCTTCTCAGAGCTCCCAAATCAGACCATATGCCTGTTAATGTCTAATCACTTCAGATCTATGACAGCCAAAGCCCAAATTACTTCACTGAGGAGAAGGAGATAAAATTCAGGGATGTACACTAGAGCTCTCCTATATGACCCCTTCCCTGCATCAGCCCCAAGACTATAGCCTGATGACTCAAGTGCTAATGAGTATAACCCTCAGATGCCACTCCCCTCCTCCTCCCCGCCTTCCCTGATCCTCTTACTCCAAGTGATTTCTCCCACCTCTAAACCTGCATAGCCCCTCATGCCACTGGTCAGTTTCCACCAGCTGTTATAGTTATTGCATTGTTGACAATCATTTCTCATGTTTACTTTCTCACCAGAGCATTTGCTTTCAGAAGCAAATTAACTCATTCATATTTTGTTCACTAAAGATATTGTCACAAAGCCTGAATGAGGTTTCAAAACAATCTTTGTACCTGAAATTTCTGGGAACCAACATATCCTGTCACACTGTATTTGGGCTTGACTTCACATAGAATTTTAACATTCGTTCTGGGGGTTTATAAACTGGTGTTAAGCCCAGTATTCAGAATGTAATATGAACTGAAGCTTTAAGTACAAGATGAAATCGTGGAGTAATTTTTCATCTCCTAAAGCGTTAAGGATGTCAGAATAATCCTGAATTTAATATGAATTATAAGTTCTAAAAGTTGGAAGGAAACTTAGAGGCAATTGGTGAAGGCCAATCTCTCGTCCAGTCTAGAAAATGTTCCTATAACATCCTTGAATGGCGCTTGTTAAGCCTCTGCTTGAAGAGCCCTGTTTTCCAAAGCAGTGTAAAGCAATGTTGACAGCTCTAGCCATCAAGGACAGCCTGATCTAATAAAAAGTTGTGCTGGTTAAGAGTATTTTACCACAATAAAAAAAAATTGGAGGAAAAAAAAGTTGCTGTGCTGGGAGAAATAAGACATATTTTAGTTATAACTCTGCTACCTAGCCTCTGAAACTGGACTAGTTACATCTTCTCTAAAAGGGAGCTGCACTAGATCACTCCTGAAAGTCCCTTCTAGATCTAACATTCTATGCTTCTAAAGGCCTCTCTTTTTGAGCTTAAATTTGCCTTTTTTCTTTGTATACAAGGATTCCAAATTATGGAATTAGTGACACAGATCAGGTCAGCTCCTGAAAGTAAATAAGTACAAAGAAACAAATGTGTTTATCAGAGAAGTCTATCTTAACCAAATGTCTCTTGTGTCTGGGGAGGGGGTGAGGAAGGGAATTCAAATCTGATAGGTAGTTAATCCATATTTCCTGCCAACAGTGTTTTACTTAGTTCCTGAGAAAGCCCTCAGGAAGCACATGTTTCAACTCCAGGGTTTACGCCAGAATCTTACAATCTCTGTCCTACAACCACAGGGGCTGGACCTTCAACTTTGCACTTTGCACAAGGTGTTCCAAACAAACAGGAGTCATTCTTGATTTTTTCCTCTCCCTCACTCCGAAAGTGTTACAAAGTCTGGTAAACTCTACTTTAGCGTGTCTTCCAAATCTACCCTTCTCCCGCAGTTTCTTCTGCTATGTACTTCCAAGGTTGGAGAACAGGGATTATACCCAGTAAATCTCTGTATCCCCAGCACCCAGCCCAGTGGCTTATTAAACATCGCTGGAACTAATGAAAGAGGGTTGCCTTCACTCCACAGGCTCATGGGACCGTTTACCCTCAAAGGGGATCAGGAAACAGAAAGGCAGGGAAATTACAATCTGTAGTTTTTCAAAGACAACAACAATGCATTACTGGGTGCTCAGAGGGTCTTCCTGCTGAGTGAGGGGGAGAGTGGTGGGCGAGCGGGCTGCAGAGGGGTTGCTGACCTAAGAGGCGGGAAAATAAGGGAGGAGGAGGGCACACGAGTTGGGTTCACAGAGATATTACGTTAGTGAGGTCCAGTGGAGCCTCAGAAATTGTTCCCACCAGACACCTGGCCCCGAGTGACAGGCGTCGCATCTTCCCTCTGCAAGGTTCTCCACACAGGTGTCGGGAGGGTTGGACCGGATGGTTTCTTGCGTGCCACGCTCCAATTCTGGAATCTCAGCCCAGCCCTTCTGGGTTACAGGTGAGGTCCCGAAAGGAGGGTGACTGGCCCATCACGCACGCAGCGAGTCTGAGGTGCAGCAGGGACTGAGGGAGTCCCAGGCACACGACTCCTGGCCCCAGCCTAGCACGAGCCTCCATGCTCTCGGGGACGGCCCCCCCAGGGGACCTGGGGCTAGCCTCTGCTTTCCCCACCTGGCTCACCTGCAACGACCGTCCTGAGGTGGATTCCGCTCTTCAGCAGCCCACAAGCCCCGCCACAGCCCAGCGCTTGCGCTGGAAGGTGGCACCGGACCCGCGGCGCCCAGGTCCGCCCCTCCTCCAGCCTGCAATCCCTGACTTCTGATTGGCTCCTCGAGCCCCTCCCCGCCGCCGCCAGTCAGCGCAGACTACTGGTAGGCGAGGCTCGGTCGGAGGACGGGACTTTTCCCCGTCCCGCGCCGGGCCTGCGCAGGAGGTTGCGAACAGAAATTCAGGGATCCGGTTTCTGATTGGCTTCCTGCAAACCTGCCCCGCCTTCTCTCGGTGGTCACCCTGGTCAGAATCCGGCTGCCTTTCCACATAACTGGAATAGTTGTTTCTAATGGGCTGTTCGAGGTTCCGCTCTGCTCCTTGGAGAGTAACCATTTAGCAGACTTTCGGCTCGTGAGTGGCACGTCGTAGTTCCGCCCAGTCCACGTAGCCGTGGAGGCTTCCTGGACCATTTCTCTCGGGATTCTAGGTGTCCGGGTAGACTCGCGTCCTCTTTTTTCCTTCCTCGGCTTCCTTCCCCCTCCTGCTGGAGGCACGTATCCCGGAGGCCAGCTTCACAAGCGCGGCCAGAGCTGGACTCGAGCCCATCCTGGCCCCAGGAACTGCAAGATTTCTGATTGGAGGTCCTGGGAGTCTGGCCTGGCTGCATTCTGCACCAGACCTAGCTCTCATCGGATACTGGAAGGTTAGAATGTGAAATTGTCTTATTTATCGAATAGGTCCACACGCTCCTTGTACTGATGAGGAAACTTAAGTCTAGGGGGCACAGAGCCTCAACCAAACCTGGTCACAACTTCTAGCTTTAAGCTTTTGCCGCGGCACCGACCGTCTACTCGCCTCCCAAACTATTACATTCAATATAATAGATGTAAAGGGGGCGTGAAGGCCGCCCCAAAAGGTTTCCCGGGGGGCTGAGGTGACCACATTTATGTTTGGTGTGATGAGTGATTCACTTACAGTGAGAAATAGAGCTAGTAATTGGGTCAGAATTCTTATTTAGGTAGTGCAGTCAGTAGATTCTCTCTCCGCAGGAAAGTGCAGAAACCACATGATTTTCAGGAGGCTGCCTGGGAATCACGGTATAACAGCAAGGTTAGTTGGGTGATTTTGTCAGGGGCACTAGACTGATGCACTTCCGCAGCCAAGCAGAACTTCCCAGATAGGTCAGAGCAATCTCTCAACTGGAGAGCTTTAGACACCCATCCACTCATGTCTACAACATGGTCTATTTTATTTTTGTCAATGCACATACCACCCCCACCCTGCCCCCAGTGTTTTTTTTTTTTTTTTTTTCTCCTGTACGGATATAGTGCACGCCGGTTATCTAGTCCCCTTGATTGATGGGCTTGGATGTTTCCCAAACCTCTATCAACCACCTCTTGAGGGATGGCCTCTTTCCCCACTTTAGATACTGTTATCTGTTGCACTTCTAATCTCCAAGTAGTGGGGCTTTTTTACAGCCTCAGGGCGACATTCTTAATATCTCATTCCTTTAGGTTGTCAAAGACCAACTTTGATTTGGATTTTCTGTAACCAGAATCTGATTCCTATCGGTCCTGTCAGCTGTCCTCAGGCAGCTCCTGAATTCTCTCTACCCTCTTGCTAGTCCACCTCTATTGCTCTGTGTTGTTGTTTTTTCCTACTCTTCTTGGTATGAGGGAATGGGAATGAAGACTGAATCTGGAAATTGTGGTGAGAATTGGGACAGGGATATAAGATCCACAGCTGCCTCCTTTGGAATGCCTCTTTCCACTCACTGCACCTTCTTTAGAAATACTGTATTTTGTAACTTGCCCTTTTCACTTTAAATGAGCATTTCTTTGACTTTAAGAATATCCTCCTACATAAATCTTTTGTACATTTTAAGTTATGTCTTTAAGATCCACTGCTCAGTCATATTATTGGGTCGAAGAGAACGAACATTTCTAAGGATCCTAATACATGCTGCCAAATCATGTTTTCCTCAATAAGGTCAATATTGCATATCATGATAATGAAAAAAGCTCCACCAATCTGATAGACAAGAAATGTCATGTCATTGTTGTATTAATATAATTTTCTTCTTCTCCACCTGGCCACTGGGACACTAAAGTAGTGGCTCTCAAAGAGCTCAGTGATCAAACACTGGAATGAAACAAAAAGATGTACAGAGTGATATAGACATGATTTTCTATTATAAAAGTCCTATAAGACATAATACCCAGTAGTTTTATATTTCCTTTAACTATGTATTGGTTAAAATGCTCAAAATTCAGTGCCAACATCGTGAGAACACAAAATTCAGTGACAACACAATTGTCATTATACAGATTTTGTGGGGATTACACATACATCTGCTTTTGCAATAGCTGTTCCATTTTTGAATACTAAATACAAGCTTTACAGCCTGATATTTTGGAAAACTTATCAGCCAAACAATTCACATCAAATCAAAACAAATAAGCTAAAGCTAATTTATAATTAAAATAAGCTAACAAAATGCAACTGATGATGCACTCAGTTTCCTCAAAAACTCTGGGTATTCAAACTATCAGCATGTGCCTGTGTTGGTATTAGCCTTTGTAATACAAACTTCTTACAATATCAAATTGGAATCCTTAGAAAACTCTTAATAATGTATCAGTTTTGGTTTATGAACATCAAATTTTAATAAACTTTAATCACTCATTTAGGTTGCTATTTAGGGAGAAAGGGCAGGTATTTTTAGATTATTGGGCAGTTGTCTATATTTATAAAACATTACTGTAGAGAGGAGGCCGTGGTCCTGGCTCCCAGCTCCAGGTGACTTGCTTCACAGGAGCACTAATGAATAGCCAGCAGAGGAAGGACGTGGCACCTCTCCCTCTGGTCCTAAAGCATAGACATTCATGAAAACATAGCACCTCCATCCTGCATCATCAACAAAGGACCATTTCCTCCTGTAATATACAACTAACAGCATGAGACCTCCAATTCAGTCCTAAATGCTCACTTGAACATAAATTACTTCCCTAATAAAAGATCTAGAGGTTATGTGCAACTTGTGGAGGGTCCAACTTATTCATTAAATATGTATTTAATGTTTAGTTGTATCAAAGTGCTTTAAGAGGCATAGACAAATTAGGGAGAACCAGAATCAGTAGGTATAAACTACAAGGAGGTAGACTTCAGCTTGAAATAAAGTCTATTTACCCATCAAAACTTCAGTCAACAGGATGGGTTGCCAGAAGGGGAGCACAGCAGACAGTCTCCATCTCTTGAATGCTCAAGAAAAGGTTGCCCAGTTAGATACTATTTGTACAAGGGATCCTGCTTTGGGTGAGAGCACAGTCGTTTCAACTCTAAAATGTGATTCCATGAATCTAAGTACCTGTTCAAACAACCCTTGAATTGAGTTCAGCTTTACTTATTGTTTCCTCAAGGCTATCCCTATTGCAAACTTTTATCTTGGTTTTCATTCTCATTGGCCCTAGAACAGAAAGTAACTGATATAGGGATGAGAATGATCACGGTCCACATTTTGGCAGTTATAATGGGAATAACTAATGTCTGAACATTTAGATAACATGTTTGAAGAGAAATTTCTGGATGGCATCCTATTTCTTTTTAAGTTATGATGTTTTATTTTTAATTACCAC